AGTTTGCCAATTCTACCCATTCATTTTCTCTCAGCGACTTTCTGCATACATGTACACTCAGGTGGAATATGCAATTCAAGCATGTCCTCGATAGTCGAAGTGGAACCTCACTGTTTGCAATTCCTTGACATTGGGTTACCAGAAATGTCAAGGGGATGCACCAGTTAGCATGAGAACAGCACATCTGAGCACCAGGAATTTGCAGCGGTCGCTAGTGGCATTTGTGTGGTGATCTTATGATGGTTTACCAGATCCCAAGCAACCTTAATAACTCGTGCTGTTACTTGTTAAAGCTCAAGCATACACCCTGTTCGGATGCCGCCATCTCAAAGTGGCAGAATACTATACCAGACCGGAGGGTAGACGAAATTGCTTCTTGTTACGTGTCTGCTATGTCTGGAATTCACTCCCAGAAGCCCACATTTGCGTTCCCATAATAGCTCCGTTCAAAGCTCTTGTCCACAGTGACATGACTGCATTACTGAATACAAAGAATAGGGGGCGAGAAGAGAAAAATCTGTGTTATTCTATCGTAGGTGGATCGGGCACATGTGCAGAATCACGTCACTGATTTGTGCGCGATGGCAGCATATTGCAGCTGCATTATATCTTATTCGGGTGCGATACGCTCCCTAAACCTGTTCTACGCAAGGTGGGCATCGAGGAATCTCCTAAAGTCCGACAGCAATTTCACCTCAACTAGCGTCTCCAGGAATTTGTTCCAAACAAATAACGCATTATACCACATTGTTCAGCGCACATGAACCATACACACATTCAAAAAACCAAATTGCATCAACCCACATCCATATTGCTGGGGAAACCAAAACTTGTAGCCTTGTAACTTGCATAAAGCCATACGTGAAAGATTTAGACGGACAACTTCTTGACCGACATGTTCATTGTTTTGGATTAGTTAATGTTTGTGGTAGCATTTGGTGTTCTTTTTGGTACCTCCGGCCGATCATCGGTGGGATAAGTTAATTTTCGGCTTTTTCCGCAGATACGGTTGACTACCAATTGCAGCGCACCGCGTCTTAGTGCGTAGGATCTCTGCAGTATGCAGTTGAAACGAAACATTCACATTTACAGTGTAAACCTCCCAGATTTGACCTTACCTGACTCTCTATGCTTCCCATTCCTTCGTCACCATGGGAGTTCAGCAGTTGCCATCGCGTTGCCACGTACAGTCCTCTACTTAACAATGGGGAAGTTCTCACGCTCAGCAGGCGTATATAACGCTGGTGACAGGTATGACCGATTCGGTCAACTTTATCTCTCTTCGCCACGCCTCTTGAAATCAGTCAAGGATGCGTAAAAGTCCAGTACTAGTTTTTCCCACTTAGTTGGACTGCTAACAGTCAAACATTTAGAAGAGTTCTGGACGATCGTACTCTGACGCAGCTGTTGCATGTCCACAGGTTACTGTAATTACTTAAACTTACACCTGGAGTTACCGGCTGTCGGACACAGAACTTGTGAAAGTGCAGGTAAGTGGTATCAATATTTATGTATTCGATAAGATAGCGTAGGCAGACAGTTCGAACTAATGTGAAGCAAAGGAGCGCTGCCACACGTTTGTACATGTCAGGGGGTCATCAAACTCTTAACAGCAGGCCGGAGGACTGCTACAATTACTAGTGTGGGCCGCATGATCATTCAGCACATTGTTTCAAATTATAAAGCTCTACTTTTCTCAGTGCCTATAATGAAAAGTGGAATAAATGTTGTTCGAATAACCAAAAGATACTGAATAACAAATAAAATAAAACTCCTTTGAAAGAGTAGAAAAGGAGGGGACCATAAGTTATTGATATAACTACGGCTTACCGAGTCCGCATATAAAGCTCTTAGATACCTTCGGGAATATTTGCAATATGATTGGTGGCATCCGGTTTCGGATTTGCCTGTCACTGTCGCAAGCCACAGGACGCCTGCGCCTACAGATGGACAATGGGTGGCTTGCGCTGCACCACCCACAGCTTAAACCACACACCCCATATCCAGTGTAAACCCGAAGGAATAAAACCGGGAGGCATGTGGATGGGGGCCACGTTTCATTAACGGAGCCGGCCCACACTCCTTCACAGGCAAACACAAGCACGCTGCATTTGGGGAATCCAACGCACACAAGACGGTGGCTGGACTGTAGTCCGCTCCACACTAAGTGCATGGAACCACTCTTTGATCCTAACACGGCCACAGGGACCGTGCACCCTGTCCCCTCCAGCAACGACCAACTGTCTCCTGAAGCCAGTATGGAGGAGGTAGTGGGTAATAGACAGGTAGGCACCTTGTCAACATGCACAACAAGCGCAGCCACACCGGGGATATCAAGCAACAGTCAATCAATTAGAACAACTATATCAAATAAAATAAATCGACAATTGTGTACAGAAGGTGACATAACTATTCAATAAGTGGGCGCATGAAATAAATCGGTTGCCAACAAATCCGCGATAGGTTCAAGACATCAGAAATATATTTTAGGGAAACGCCACAAATGCTAAAATGTTGTCGAAGTTAACTACAGTTAGCTTAAGCGAGTGTGCAAGTTCATAAAAGATAGTTCATTTAGACATTAATATGTGCTTAAAAAAGCATTTGGACTATAAATATATATATGCGCCTGATTCTTCAAATAGAGCGTACTTGTGTTTGCCTGTGAAGGAGTGTGGGCCGGCTCCGTTGATGAAACGTGGCTGTCATCCACTTGCTTCCGGGTCTTATTCCTTCGGGTTTATACTTGATATGTGATGTGTGGATGGGGCTGTGGGTGGTGCAGCGCAAGCCACCCATGGTCCCTCTGTAGGCGCAGGCGTCCTGTGGCTGTCTCCTTGGAGGCCGCAGTGACAGGCAAATCCGGAACGGGATGTAGTCAACCATGTGTGTGTAAGAAGCTAAGGGCTTAGAATGCTTGAGCATAGCGTTTTCACTGGGGTCAAATCAACATCCAAGACTGGAACTGGATATCTGAATCATTTATACGCAAGTAATAATGCCGTAATACACGAACCTCAATGATTGGGGTTCCAAGCATAATTCCGTTTCAAAAAATTGCGATATGATCCATACAGGCAGTAAATTTTGCTCCAAACTAACGGTTTCCTAATACGCGACTTTTTACATGACACCTGCATCAAGGGACTTAACTGACCGAAACTTGACGTTCAGTTGTGCGTTAAACGGAAACGCGGTAGGGTGCATTGATGAATGGGTTTCATGCCGGATTACTCATCTCAACATCCCATTGATGTGAAGTCTCTGATAGTAGAACAGTAGGGTGTCTCATGTAACCACCTTGAGTGGAATTACGGTGGCGTTCAAAGAGTGAAAGATCACCTGGTAAACTGGCCGCTGCCCTCCGGAGAATCAATACTTGTTTGCTAGAACGGCTTCCTTGCAACTTATCCCAGTCTGATTCCAACGCCGGTTCACATCTAGCCACAAGATGATCTAGGTATCATTTGCTACCCTGAGCCGAATGTGAGTTGCACGTACACAAACATCGCCCATACTATGATGTGTATTAAAAGCCCGTTAAATCCTGTGTCCTGGTACACCTTTCGAAATGAACTGCAGTCAGGTTTCGGCCATGGTTTTCTTGGACATTGCTGTCTCTAACTCGCATGATCGGAAAGCAACTCTGAAGTTGATTTTCGCAAAACCGGTTTTCTTGTTAGTTAGGATACTAATCTAATGATCAAATATTTATGGGCTCAAATTTAAGCGCGGTTCCTTGTGACCGAGGCGTTTGAGAAGGATGCAATTGATCGTCTTTCCTTCCATTGATGTCTGCATTTAATGGTCGCGTTGTATTAACGAGAATATCACAAACTGATTTTTTCAGATGCCTACTAACTGCGTGGCTTAACTGTCACTAACTTTGTCCATTCCTTTTGGTTCCCACTGTTTTCTTTTTAACACTGGGTAGGCAATGTGCCCCTAGGAAAAACCTCCTATTGTTTCCGTTGGAGTCACCCACGCAATCATGAAGAGTGAACTATGCTACATCACGGCTTAAAGCCTAGTCGCTATGGCCATGGTTTTGTCTCCCCTTGCCACAGGAGTCATGTTTCTGCTCCATAGTAAAGAGCGCCTCACTCGTCCAGGTTCAATGATTTGATGCAATGGATGCACAACTATCTGGTATCTCACTTGTTTTTACTTCTAGGTCATTTCCGAAACAACCTCATTTGCTAGTGGCGTAACGTTCTCAGTTGTAAAGTAAGGCGGTCAAACAAACCTATGGAACCGCTACACTCCATTACACAAATTCGGCTTTTTGACCACAAATGGAGTGAAAAACCAGGCATAGCTAAATTACTCCTGTAGGGAGGAGTAGCATCCCTCAAGTGGGTGCATAATCACCACTTCACGGTCACTATAGCAACCAACTCATGGAAGAACATGGAGGAACTCATTTACTCGTCCCACCATATTCAATCGCATGCCAACCCCACCCCGAAAATCATCTGAGCGTTTGGTTATTGAGTCCGTCATTCAGTTGACACAGTAGACGTGGACAATATCAACGGATTCACTGGCTGGTCCGGTTTATTTGCGCTTTCTTTTTACTCTCACGTGCATTTGTCCACAGAAATAGCCACTACTCATGACAACAGACTATCGGTGCAGCCAGAGGACAAACATTCGAAATCCCGTGAGCACATGCGCATACGCCCACACAGTTTGTAATTATCTCACTATGGCAACGGTTGTCATAGTGAAATTTCGGGCAAGCTAAACCCATCCTCGGATCGCACTTCCGTCCACGAATGAACGCCACTGTTATGCATAAGCAAATTGCTAATGGGCGGTAATCGAGGATGGAATAATGGGTTGTTTCGATTGAATGAGACTATACGTTGGTAGCTTACCGTGTCCTTCGTCCAGCCGCTAAGATTATAACGCACCCACACAATCGTTGCTCTGCCGTGATAGCAGTATATATGGTTTGACGTTAGAACCACTTGGACTCATGGTAAGATGATACCATGCAACACAGGATGATAAACGGATCGTTTTGCTAGTTACAGGAGGACAATTAAGCAGTTTTCGGATTTATTCTCACTTTTTCGGAACAACGGTGCATCTGTTGCAATCTTGTGCTGCATGCTACCACAATTTATGAGGATTCCGCAGGATATGTTGGCGGCTGCGCAATCAATTTCAACTGAAGCCGCCTTTCCACGCGAAAGGCATTGATGGTGAGTTCGTCCTCATCCGCTACTTCTGAACTACAAGTCGCTTAGGAATTCTTTCTGTTATTTCAATGGCGTCCTTCAGTCCAGTTTCACCAAGCGAATATGTTGCTGATATTGACGATAGTAGTAGCTTTCTGTTTCCACGACGTGGATGAATCCATTGAGATTAGTTTCCTCATATCTTCAAAGCCATCCTTCAAGTGCAAATTAGCGGCAAATTTAGTCGCAGAACGACGCGGTAACGTGGAGATAACCAGACTGCCAGTTCGTACTTAATCGCTGTATGTGTGGCGAGCTGGGGCCCGAGTAAATAAATAAATTCATATTTTAACCGACAAGCGATATACATGTCACTAAGCGGGAGCTATTATTTGTACACGTAAGTAGCGTGATGGATTATGTGGTTTAGAACATGATATGAGAAGTAAAAGTTGCAATCTAGAATTTCGGATCAGAAATATTTCCTCGGATCATCGACCGGATCACTCGAACTATTTGTACTCTTGTTTCTAACTTTCTAGGTTGCGAAGCTCGGGAGCAGTCAAAAGTGGAGTAGAAGAGAGTGAGCCGCACAGACATATGCCTAATTTTATGAGTAATGAAAAGAGGGCGTAAGATAAATGTAGGCTATTGACTGCTCATAATTTATTTAGACCAACTTCCGTCTATGTTTCTGGTGATTTTTGTGCTCAAAATATCCTTAACACATTCGGGATGGTGCAGAAATTCTTAAGAGAATTTCGGAACGTGGCATGGTTAACACTTGTGCGTAGTTGTAGTGGAAGCCGGTTCCAGAGATAAGCATACCTCAATAAAAAGATAGTCGATCGGATTTTATGAGTTTCAGGCTCTGGGGGCAAAAAGGATCCACCAGTACGTGTCTGGTAGGTGTCGGTTTTTCGTAATTCGATGACCGTACTCCGCGTGAAAATCAGCTTATTTATAATGTTGCATATAAGAAGGAGATTGTTTTTTAGTCTTCTTAACCTAAGTGGATCCATTCGGAGGTGGCGACAACGATTGTAGTAACTCAGGGTTTAGCCGTATCCCCTGGCAAGTTTGGTAAATGATTGTTGCACATTCTCCAAAGTTGTTCTGTCTTTCTTTCTTAGCTGGCTGTGAATGATAGTACAATATTCCAGAGTAGATCTTACAAATATTTTGTAGAACACGTGTTTAAGGAAAGGAGAATCTTCTCTTTATGTAACCGGATAACTGTCTAGCTTTTGCAATTTGACAAAGTATATGTGCAGAAAAATTGAAGCAGTCAGAATACCTAATTCCCAGTCCCGAACTGAATCAACGTTTGGGATGACGTTACTGGAAATCGCGGCAGAGCCTTCCGGGATGCAACATCTGTATTCAAGTACTCGGGATGTTCTTGTGGGTCATTTCATTAGCAGATGCTTACTAGAAGTATTCAGTGCGAGTAGGTCTTCGCGTACGCTTCCCAGGCACTCATGTAGTTGGTCTGGTTGAATTGAATAGACTAGCCTGACGTCGCCTGAAAACAGGAACGAGCGTCCGTGTTTGATGGGGTCGCATGTGTTGTTTACGTAGATTAGGAAAAGCAGTATTCCCAACACACTTCCCTGGAAGAAATCACTGGTTATTCGTTTTGATGTAGAGTATTGCTGAACTATTTTGGCTCTTTGGGTTCCATCGTTCAGGTAAGAGTCGAACCAACTTAGCAAAGTTTCCAATGACATAGGACTCTAGCACGGACAACAATTGTCTGTGTGGCACGCGGCCGAACACCTTTACATGTCCAAAAGAATTATGATGATTGTCAATTCTCTGACAATCATAGTGATGACATGTTCAAAGAGTTGCCCTTGGCAGCTCTTTGAGAGAAAGCCATGTTTTGGTGGGTGGATTAGCTCCAGTCGTGTAAAAAGTCGGACAATATTCTTCTTGAGTATGCTTGCTAGGGCTTTAGAAACAGCAGACGTCTGCTTTGTCGTGTCGTATCTTGGCATTTCATCTGAATTAAAGTCATTTTTTGGATACCGATTAACTGGTGTCATCACTACTTTTTGCTGCGTAGGTTGTTTGATTCATGCGGGCGATTATTAATACCCAGCAGCTTAGGTGTATCGATTGAAGTAAATAATTACGGAAACTCGTAAGATACGGTTAATGGTATCAGGAAATGTATGCTCCGGAAAATTTCCCTAATGTATGCATATAAAAAAGCCCCAAAATATGTTAAACAGGTGATGGCTAACATGCTAGTTTGCCACACCAGCATGCAGCCAAATAGAGAATGGGAGTGCGGGTGAAACATTTCGAGGGAATAACCTGCATGTAATCAGGTCTACTGAGGACGGTTTCATGAATGGCTGTATTACCTTACTTGATCATTTGGTTAAATTTGCATTTGTTGTTTCCAGTTTCCTAAGTTCTCTAACACCTTCAACCTGCTAATCCCTTTAAAAATCCGTTTGGGTTCCATTGTACAAAATGTGAATAATTGCTATTGTGCCAATTGATCGGACCACTCAATTGGACTGTGTTTCGCACCGTCGAGGAATATACAATTTATTTATTTATTTATTTGTTTGTATGAAAAACGAATAAAACAGCTAATCTTATTTCTGGGATTTTACCGTCGGTTTGACGGTGGCGCTAGTGTGAATAAGCCGGATGGTGAAACCAATTACAGTCTGCTGGGTGCCTTTCACAGTAAGGCAATCACTGACCACTTGAATAGAAGCTAGTTTAGTCATCATCATCATCATCATCATTATACATGTCAGCTAGAGCTGGTAGAACACCTCCGCCATTGTACCGCAATACATAAAGGAAATACATACATACATACAATACATAAAGGAAAAATAAATACGACAGTTGAATGCCAGCTGAGCTACCAGCAACGGATACGCATCGTTCCGGTAAGCTACTAGCCGGCTACTAGGTAAAAACAAAAATTTAATTACGTTTTACCCTATGAAATAAGATCGTAGATGGAGGGGGAGGCTAAAGGGATGGGGAGGGACAAAGAAACGCACAGCAGGAACGCCACTGAGGTCGGCTCCTTGACATATCAGCAAGTATATCCAGCCAAACGTGTTCACCGTCTTTTGGACCCCAACCAGGGAGCCGTGAAGCTCCAACTGAGGCCAGCTCCGAAGTGAGGGCCTTCATTCCTCTGGACCAAGTCACCGCTTGGCCACCTCTCCTCTTCTTCCACCCACATCCCCGGTGAGCAAACAACGCACGTCGAGGGAGTCGGTGGGCTGGCATGCGCAAAACGTGGCCCAGCCATCGGAGCCTGGTGAGTGAAATGACGGTGCTGAGCGGTTCATTCCCTTTTCCTAGGCCGTAAACAAGGCGTCGGACACGCTCGTTACTCACGCGGTGTTCCCACCAGATGTGAGCCAAACTGCGAAGGCACCGATGGTCGAACGTAAGCAGCCTCTTCATGTCCGCCGATCTTAGGGGCCAGGTTTCGCAACCGTACAGTAAGGTCGAACGTACCGCTGCATTGTACACTCTACCCTTCAGGGCGAGAGCAATGTCGCGCCGTCGCCATAGGTGGCGAAGGTTAGCAAAAGCACTTCGAGCTTTCGCTATGCGGTTCGTGATCTCGTCTTCGATGCCAAGGGCGCTGATACAACTTCCCAGGTAATTGAATTTCTGAACGACTTCTAGCTGATCCCCACCAAGGGTCAGCACAGGGGGCGAACCCTGCCAATCCTGGAGGAACGCTTTGCACTTCGGTGGTGCAAAGCAAAGCCCGAAGCGACTGACAGCCAGTGCTAATCTGTCTAGCGCAGCTTGACACGTCTGGGAGCTGTCACAGATGAGGGCAATGTCGTCTGCATACTCTAAGTCAAGAAGTCGTTCTCCTGGGAGTAGCTCCACACCTTCCAAGTCATGTCCTGTAAATGCAATCTCCATGACTTCGTCAATAGCGAAGTTGAATAGGAAAGGTGACAGCGGGCATCCTTGTCTCACACCGCTGGAGATATTGAAGGGTGGCGACAGCCTGCTGTAAGCCCTTACTCTGCCCGTGCTACGCGCATATAATGCTTGGATAATATTTACATATTTCTGGGGCACACCTTTCCTGAGTAGACAATTCCAAAGGGCACATCGATCAACCGAATCGAAGTCACCTTTGATGTCGAGGAACACGACTACGGTGGGCCGCCAATATGTGTGACGGTGCTCCAACAACTGACGCAAAGTGAAAATGTGGTCAATGCAGCCACGACCCCGACGAAACCCAGCTTGCTCCTCACGAATCTGGCTTTCACGAGCGCCAGTCAGTCTGTGGAGAATTATGGACGCGAGTAATTTGGAGGCGATGGAGATCAAACTGATTCCTCTATGGTTGCCGCATTCCCAGCACGAGCCGCCTTTGAAGATGAAAACAATAACGGAGCGGCTCCAGTCGGTTTGGACAGTTTCCTGCTCCCACAGTTTCACTAGTAATTCATGCAAAGCATCAACAAGAGCAGAGCCTCCAAATTTGAAGAGGGCTGGAGGAAGATCATCTGGTCCCGCGGCTTTGTTCAACTTCAACAGTCCGATCTCACGTTCGACTTCTGAGCGAGAGAGTGGATCCAAAGGGACAGCCCACGGAGCGGGGCGATCAGTGACCGGCGAATCGAACAATTCTTGCCAATTAAATTGCTTTTCAAAATGCTCAGCCCAACGCTCCAGACTTTTTGACAAATTGTGGATAGGCTGTCCACTCTCGTCACGTATAGTTTCACTAACACTAGGTCTCCTGCTGCCCGTTTCCCGTATCAGACGGAATAACTTACGATGGTTGCCAAGGGCAGCGGCCACTTCCATCTCTGACGCACGATGAGACCACCAAGATTCGCGGTCTCTCTTCAAGCTAGCACGGAGGATCGCCCGGAGCTCTTTGCGAGTTTCATTTTGCTCGCTTCCAGCCGGGATTTGCCGGAGAGCATCTATAAGTTCCAGAGACTGCGAAGAGACCCAATGTCCATGTTTTCTATTAGACATACCACATGAGGATTTGC